GGGCTTAGGGTAAGAGTATAAATGAGAAGAATAGCAGGCAAAAAGTTAAGTTGTGAGGAACTTTAATAATTAAATTAGAGAAAGATGAGGCTGCAAAGGAGAGGCCAGAAGCTGGAGAAAAATCAGGAGTGTGGAAATCAGAGACAAAGGGAAAACTTTGTACAAAGAATAAAGTGACCAACAGCAGTGTCAAATACTGTCTTGAGGTCTTACAAAGATTAACATGTCCTTTTGGCTTAACAACATGGTGATCAGAATGGAAGTCATTTTATGTGGTATAATGATAAAAAGGTCAGACTGGATGTGAGGAAAGAAAGATAATGAATACAGACAAATCTTTTTAAAAATTGCTGTGAAAGAGAAATCGAAGGCACTTCTCAACAGAGTAAATAATCTGCAGAGATATCATACATACTAAAACATCACATGAAGGTTAAACTGGTATAAACGTGATCTAATTTCTGAGGGACAAGACTTTCTAAGATTAGAAATAATAGAATAAATTAGAGAAATATCTTACCATATAAAAATGAAATAATTTATATTTAATAGCATACCTCACTAAAAAGGGAAAACCAACATGGTGAGAAAAACATTTATAACAAGTGTTACTTATTTTTTAATGTGTTAAAGAATCCCACATAAATAAAAAATAAAACCATTAAGAATCCAACTGATAAATAGGAAAAGGTTATAAAACAGCCAATGTAGAACATGTCAAGGAAAATATTGTAAAGATTACTAATAGTATAAATCTAATGTGTTTTTCTTGACTTCTGAAAAATTTTATATTAGTCACTCTAGTAGATCTAATCAACCTTCCATGTGACTACCAGAAAAATTATATTCTTAAAAATATTTCAAAGGAAGGAAGACATGAACTTAAAATGTTTTTACTCATTAAAAATAAAGGATATAGGGGCGGGGGGCTGAGATATAACTATCCCTGAGAAGTTAGCTACCATATCAAACTCTAAGGGACACATGACTATAATAGACACATATGTAACTATGGTTGCCTTTAAAGTATTTTCTCTTTTACCCTTTCTTTATTCTAAAGTTGCCACTACATCTATGAATTATAAAGAGGTTAATCTGCTTCTCGTAACCTCTTCTAGGAGAAAAAATAAATTTAAAGACTTCTAAAAAAGTGAATCTTTTTTTAGAATGAATTTTTATGTAACGTAGAAAAAAAATCACATTCAATTTCTCATAATATTTAGAGAAAAGAGTCCTATACAAATTCACACAGTCTCAGTATTTTTCTCCCCTCAACCCAGCTTCCAGTGATTACTACTGTATATTTATAACACAAGTTGTCCTTGTGGTATTAAAGCACATATGGGAGAAACTTTTACTTCTTCCATAAAGGATTAAACAGCCATGTACCTTCCTACTATAAACTACTAGAAAACAGGACAAACCTATAAAACAACTGTTTCAAAACACTGGACAATAAACAATATAGGACTGATCCCTGGAAGGGGGAAAAATGAGATGAGAAATATCCTTGCCTCAGATAACAACCTGGAGAGTTTCCAGGCTGTATCACAGGATGGGAAAACCCAAACCAAGTCTAGCAGTCTCTTTAAGCTGAGGAGAAAGATTTGGGGGAGCCCAAAGTGGCTAGGATTTGGAGGGCAGAGTACCAGAGATAAGGGAGTTGCACAGAGTATCACAGATCTGCAGAGAGGACTGCCGAGACATTACCCAAGTCTTTGGTTGAGTAATGATCTGTAAATATGTGGGGTAAAAGCACACAAGGCTGGAGAAAGTACTACTGGAAAGGAGTAGAGAACACACAGTGGTGGGAAGAGTTTATGTTCCTACCAGCAAAAGTTAAGAGAGGGTGCAGTACAGGGGCACTGGGTAGGGCTCTCAGAAAAGCTGTGCCTTAGCAGTAATTCATTAGCCCTAGATATTTTGGATCTCTCCTGATAAACCTTAAACGCAAAATTCAAAAGGATCAAATTGATTTCACATAAATTAACTATATGTCAGATTAAAACCCAACACTCTTTAAAGGAATAAATATAATTAAAGAATTTAGGATTCAACAATGCAAAGAATAACAATGTCTGGCATCCAATTAAAATCATCAGACATAAAGACAAAGGGACAATTACAACTAGGAAAAAATCAACAGACGTACCCAGAAATGACAGGTGAAGAAATTAGCAGACAACTATTAAAAATATACTCCATAATATTACCCATCAACAAAAAGGCACATAGATTGGAAAGGGAAAAGTAACATGATCTTTAGTTGCCAATTATTTCATCATTCACACAAAAAATTCTAAGAAATCTAAAAAAAGCTACTAGAACTCATAAGTTAGTTTATTAGTAAGGTCAAAATATAAAAATCAATTCTCTTCTATAAACCAGCAATGAACATCTAGAAACTAAAATGCAGAAAAACGGTACTAGTTACAGTTGCATCAACAATATGAAATATTTAGGAATAAATCTGAAAACTATGTAACATTGTTCAGAGAAACCAAATACCTAAAAAAATAGAGAAATACACTACATTTGTTTATTGGAAGACTACTAACATGTTGGAATATTATTAACATGTTGGTTCTCCCCAAATTATCAACAGACTCAACACAATCTTGATCAAAAGCCAGCAGGCTGTTTCAAAAAGCAAATAAAGTAGAATCGCCAAAACAACTTTGAAAAGAACAAAGTTAGATTGCATACACTATCAGAATTCAAGACTCTTCCTTAACCAATAGATCACAGACATGGTGGTACTGGCTTAAGCATAGATGTAGTGATCAATGGAACTGAACAGAGACGCCAGACTAGATCCATTGATATATGGTTATTGTATCCACATGTTTTAACTTTATAAGATAATGATAAATAAAATAAAAATAGCAATTTTGACAAATTTGGAAAGTCAATTCTATGTCAGAAAGGATAGTCTTTAAAAAATGGTGCTATGAAAACTGGATCCTTAGTTCACACAATCTAGAAAAATTAACTTGAAATGGATCATATGCGTAAGCTTGACAGCTAAAACTATAATACTGCTTAAGAAAATACAGGAGAAAAATCTTGTGACTTTGGATTAAGCAAATATTTTTTAGATAGGACACAAAAAACACAAATCATTACAGAAAAAAATTGATTAATGAAAAGATATTCATCCTGGTTATTAGGGAAATGAAAATGAAAACCTCAAAGAGATTCCACTTGCACACACAAGAATGTCTAAAGTTAAAAAAGTCTGATAATACTAAGTGTTATAAAGTATATAGAGCAATAACTTTACATGTTGCTGGGAATGCAATAAAGTATAGAATTTGAAACCATTAAGTAGTGTTTTCAGACTGGTTTCTTTCACTTAGTAATATGCATTTAAGTTTCTTCCTTTTATGCTTGATAGCTCTTTTTTTCCCTAGTGCTGACTCTTGGCAACCACTGAACTTTTTACTTTTTCCATAGTTTTGTGTTTTCCAGCATGTCGTATAGTTGGATTCATACAGTATTTAGCTATTTCAGATTGGCTACTTTGACTTAGTAATACACTTTCAAGGTTTTTCCATGTCTTTACCTGGCTTGATAGCTCATTAAAAAAAAAACATTAAATAATATTCCACTGTCTGGTTATTTATCCATTCACCTACTGAAAATCACCTTGGTTGTTTCCAATTTTGTCAGTTAATAAAGTTGGTATAAACATCTGTGTGCAGGGTTTGGGGTGAATGGAAAAAAAGTTTTCAACTCTTCTGGGTAAGTACCAAGGAGGAGGATTCTGGGATCATATAGAGTAGGTTTAGTTTTGTAAGAAACCACCAAACTGTCTTACAAAATGACTGTATCATTTTGCATTCACACCAGCAATGAATGAGAGCTCCTGTTGTTCTGTTTCTTTGTCAGCATTTGGTGCTGTCAGTGTTCTAGATTTTGGCCACAGAAGTGTAGTGATATCTAACTGTTGTTTTTATTTGCATTTCTCTGATGACATACCACGTGAAGCGTCTTTTCAAATGCCTATTTGCCACCTATATATCTTCTTTGATGATGACATATAGATGTCTGTTAAGGTCTTTGGCCCACTTTTTAGTAGGGTTGTTTGCTTTCTTATTGCTGAATTTCAGACTTTTTGTATATCTTGCTTAACAGTCCTTTATTAGATATGTCCTTTGCAAACATATCTTTTCCCAGTCTGTGGCTTCTCTTTTTATTTCTTGACAGTGTCTTTCACGAAGCTGAAAAATTTAATTTTAATGAAGTCCAGCTTATCAATTCTTTTCATGGATTGTGCCTTTGGTCTTGTATCTAAAAAGTCATCACCAAACCCCGTATCATCTCAATTTTCTCCTGTTTTCGTTCGAGTTTTATAGTTTTGTGTTTTACATTTAGGTCTGTGATCTGATTTGAGGTAATTTTTGTGAAACGTGTAAGGTCTGTGTCTACTGGATGTCCTACTGTCCCAACATTGTTGTAAAGACTATTTCTCCATTGTTTTGCCTTTGTTCCTTTGTCAAAGATCAGTTGATTATATTTACGTGGGTCTATTTCTGGGTTATTCTGTTCTACTTATTTGTCTGTTCTTTCATCAAAACTGTACTGTCTTGATACTCTGACTTTGTAGTAAGTCTTGAAGTCAGGTAGTATCAAATCATCATATTGTACATAAGAAACTAATATAATTTTATATGTCAATTATAATTCAATTAAAAAAACACAAAAAACTTCAAAAACAAAAAGAAATGATGGAGGGATTGATATGTTTTTTAAATATTTTATTTATTTTTAGAGAGAGGAGAAAGGAGGTAGAGAGAGTGAGAGAGAAACATTGATCTATGAGAGAAACATAGATCAGCTGCCTCTTGCACATGCCAGGACTGGGGACCTGGCCTGCAACCCAGGCATGTGCCCTAACCAGGAATCAAACCTCCAACTGCTCCCTTTGCGGGATATGCCACTAAACCGACTGGAGCCATGCCAGTCAAGGCTGAGAGATTTTTTTTTTCCCAAGCAGAGGTCTCAGTGTGAAAGTCAGATCAGAACCAGATACCACCTTCCTGCAATCACATAACTTCAGACTGGCTGTGGGATGCCAACCTCGTGTCCTCCCTGGGCTTGCCAAGGAGCACAGACCTGGGACATCACTGTGTCAACTGCCCTTGTGCCCATCAGAGCACTGCTGGGGCCAGATGGAAGTGAGGCGGCTGGGTGAGAGATTTTTTAAAATGCAAATTCTATGTTTAGTTACCCTGATGGTCAGGAATATATAAATTTTTTTTAATGAGTAAATTACACATACTCTGAGTTTGTAGGGGACTTAAAATGCTCAACAAACTAAATGTCCAAATCAGGGTGTAAAAAATAATTTATTTTAAATAGTGTATAACCAATATATGAGGTCTGTCCACAAAGTATCCAACCATGTAATATGAAACAGAGGCATCTGTTGAAGGAGATACAAGATACAAGAACATTGTATATAGGACAATGATGCCTCAGTCCCCTGCAAAGTAGGCACCTTGGGACCTCACAGTTCTCCCCATTGCCATCAGCTGTCTCATTGTATTTTCCTGAATCTCACTGATGGTCTGAAATCTCTTTCTTTTTAAAGGTGATTTTAGTTTTGGGAAAAGCCAGGAGTCACAGGGCACCAAATCTGGGCTCTAGTGGGGCTAAGTCACCTGCATGATTTGATGTTTCACCAAAAAACTCTGCACAAGATGTGATGCATGAGTGGGCATGTTGTTGTGATGAAGCTGCCAATCACTCATAGCTGTGGCCTTCTGAATAGTTTCCATGGAGGAATGTTCCAGCTTAATGCAAACTTTGATGCAGATTCATTGCTCTACTCGTTTATTTTGAATGCAACAGCCACACAGTACACATGCTCATCAACTATACCTCCCCCACTGACAAGTACAATGAAGTCACCATGGTTCACATATGTGCATTCAAGTCCATTCTCCTTGGCTGCCAGGTTACATAAGTGTTGTGCAATCTGTTCTCGTTATAGTAACAAAGTACACTGTACTTGTTCTGGAGGGACCTCATATATTATCATGATATAATTTTTAAATGACTTCATTTTTTTAAAGAGTAGTTTTAGGTTTACAACAAAATTGAGAGGAATTATTTACCCTTACCTTCATATGCATATCCTCCTGCCCCATTATCAACATCACTCACCAGAATGATATATTTTTTCCGAGGATGAAACCCACATTGACAGGCAGAACATAATCATCCAAAGTCCACAGTTTACCTTAGAGTTCACTCCTGGTGTTTTACATTCTATGGGTTTGGGTCAATATATATTGACATATGCCCATCATTATACCATGTGGTTTTTCACTGCCCTAAATGCCCTCCGTGCTCTGCTTGTTCAGATCTCTCTCTACCCCACTTCTGGGAACCATTTATCTTTATTATTGTCTCTCTAGTTTTGCTTCCTAGATTCTCATATAATTATAATTATTCAGTGTACAGCCTTTTCAGATTGTCTTCTTTCAGCTAGAAATATATATTTAAGGTTCCTTCATGTCTTTTTATGGCTTGATTTCTTTTAAGCACTGAATAGTAATTCCACTGTCTGAATGTACCAAGGTTAATGTACACATTCATCCACTGAAGGACATCTTGGTTGGTTCTACTTCTGGCAATTATGAATAAAGCTGCTATAAATGTCTAGATGCAGGATTTTGTTAGGACCTATCTTTTCAACTCCTTTTAAACACCAAGGAGCATGATTGCTGGACTGTATCATAAAAGCATTTTTAATTTTATAAGGAAGTGCTAAACCATATTTCATAGTGACTGCACCATTTTGCATTCCTTCCATATTTTGGCAGCATTTGATGTTGGCAATGTTCTGAACTTTGACCTTTCTAATAGGTGAATAGTGCGTGATAGGATTTTTAATTATGTGAAAAAATGTACAAGATATATTAAGGGAAAACCAAACTTAATTATTCGTATTTTGTAAAAAGATGTATTGCATTTTATCAGCTATTATTTCTGATGAATTTTTTGCCTTTTCTGTATCATTCTAATATTCTATTTTTATAAATGTACACTATTGAAGAATTCAGAAAGAATTCTCTTAAAATTAAAAAGAAATTTAAATTACCTTTATATAGCTTTTCCACCTGTATAAAAACTTAATTCACATGAAAATCATTTTAAAATTAAAAACATGCATTATTAAAATTTAGCAAGTTATAACTTTAGCAAGTTATAAGAAGGGTCCCTGGGAGATTGCTGTTTTAGTTCCAGCTATACAATATTTTTAAATGTCCCAGCAATGTTAGACATGCCACTCAAGGGCAATTTAACAAAAATTCTTTTTATCTGCAACAATAAAATGGTAATAATCTTGTTACAGTATAACCAATAATGCATATGCAAACTTTCTTTACAGATCCATCACTGATATGCTTTTGAAGCTGAAATGATTTGTGGAATTATCTAATCCATTTATTTTTTAAAAAGGTTTTATTTATTTATTTTTAGACAGAGGGAAAGGGAGAGAGAAAAGAGGGAGAGAAACATCAATATGCGGTTGTCTGTCATGCGCCCCTTCCCTGGGGTCCTGGCCTGCAACCCAGGCATGTGCCCTGACTGAGAATCGAATCAGTGACCCTTTGGTTCACAGACTGGTGCTTAGTCCACTGAGCCACACCAGCTAGTACTTAATTCCTTTGTCTTTATAGATGGAGAAAATTGAAGTGACTTGTGTATGACTGCAATACTAGTTAGGGCAGAACGAGGTAGACACCTGGGTTCTGAATCCTACTTAGTTCTTATTGTTTTCTGATAATTAAATCGTGTCCTTGAATACAATGGTCTTATTGAAAGTTATTAGAAAAATTACCCTGGTTGGCGTGGCTCAGTGGATTGAGTGCTGACCTGCAAACTGAAGGGTCGCTGGTTCAGTTTCCAGTCAAGGTCACATGCCTGAGTTGCAGGCCAGGTGTCCCCATGGATGGTGTGCAAGAGGCAACCACGCATTGATGTTTCTCTCCCTCTCTTTCTCCTTCCCTTCCCCTTTCTCTATAAATAAATAAAATCTTAAAAAGGGAAGTTTTTAGAAAAATTGTAAATGGTGTATTTTAGAGTAGTATATAAGAGATATTCATGGAAAAATTTTAGGTACTTTTCCATTCAAAGTGAATTTCATTTATTGAGTCACGCAGAAAATAACAATCCACTTACACACACACACACACACACCCCGGCAAGTCAACAGCAACTTATATATCAGGTTGAAATTAGATTACAGATCATATGGTGAAGGCAAGGAGATTGTATATAGCCCCTAAGTGGCTCGGTATTGTCTCAGATGATAAAAAAACAAAACAAAACTGAAAAAGAACATTGAGATAACAATACCATCATAGAACCTACTGAACCATGGCAATAAATAGATGTTTCACTTATACCAGTAACATGGGAGGCACACCACATAATCCTTTTATTTAAAGATTAGAACTCTGTGACCTGAGTTTTATTTACTTAGTTTATACATTCATTCATTTACTGTTGAACCAACAAGTAAACTAATGAAGCAAACAAGGTTCTTTCCCATACATGCAAGTGTTCAAAAAACATATAACTAAAACATACTGGGAGCATATCACAGTTGGTTAGACAACATTTCTTTCATTTTAATTCTTCAAATTAATTTAGCTCTGGCCCTATGGTAATATTAATAGGATATAACCATAAGATTGCTAGAAGAGAATAAATTCTGAAAATCCTAAAATGTGTTTGATAATCAGTCTTTCTAAAACATCCAGAAGACCATACTATTGCCAGAAGAGAATGAATTCTCAACCTAATTGCATTTTTCTTTAATCCTATTTTAAAAAGTCATCAATTCTAGATATGGAGCTAAATCAGATCATTAAGTACTTATAACTTAGAAATGTAGCTGAGTGACTGCTTTCTTACTCTTTGCTTATTCAATGATTAAAATATGCATTGTGTGCCAACGGCGTAAAAAGTTATGTTGGTTACATTTCAAGTGTACATGAGTGTAGAATCTTGGAGTAGAAATAAAGTTCTTTTAAAAGACTCAATTTTTAAAAAATCAGGTGATATGCTATTTGTCTCTCACTTATAAGAGGAATCTAATGAACAAAATAAACTGAGCAAAATAGAACCAGAGACATGGAAAAAGAACAGGCTAACAGCTGCCAGAGCAGGGGAGGGAGGAGGGGATAATGGTGGAAAGAAGGGGAAGGAATTAGTCAAAGAACATATATGAATGACCCACAGACATGAACAATGGGGTGGGAATAGATTGTGTGTGTGGGGAGGGAGATGGGCTGGTGGAAGAAGACAAAGGCGGGAAAGTTGGGACAACTATAATAGAATAAAAATAAGAATAAAAAATAACAATACAAGAATAAACTGTGTTTCACATAAAAAAATCAGGTGAGACTAAGTAATTATTGGTAACTTTGTTAAGTATATTAATGGCATTGTGGTTATATATAAAAATGTCCCTAATTTTCACAGTTTACACTGAAGTAGTGTAAAATGACACAAACACCTTGGAATGGCTTTAAAATATTTCAGTAAAGATAAAAGAAAACAAGTATGGAAAAATCCTTATTGTTGAAACTGGGTAATAGGTCCATTGCATCTAGTTTTTGTGCGTGTTTGAAATTTTTACTTAAAAATTAGAAAACAAGGCAGTCAGTTCTCTAATTATGTAACTGGCAAATTCATTTAAGTACTCTGTGCCTCAGTTTTACCATCTGTAAAATAATACTGCCTACATTATACAGTTGTTGAAAACTGCTGTTTCTCCATGAAAACTAGCTTAGGATTTCAAAAAACTGTCCAGAACATGCCTACTCAACTCTATTCAATTGGAACTAGGAATAGGCCTTACCCAGTTCCATGACCCTGGTGGTGGCTCTAATAGGACTTTTGTGGGAAGGGGTGTGGCTTGAGAAAGTGGGTCTAAGCTACAGAAGATCTAAGTCTTTTACCTTTCTCCTCTGCCTTGATTCTAAATTGTGCCTTTGAGATTTCTAATCTTAAGATACATTCCAAATGCATCCATGTATCTTCATATCAACTGTCTCCAGCATCTCTTGTTTAGATCATTGCAACAGCTTTCCAAATAATCTCCTGTTGGGAACTACCCTGCCTGGTTTCAGGAGCTGTAACTCCCCTATGGCTAAGGCTGAGTAAAATGATCTTGAGACCATAAGCCACGAAGGAGACAAAGCTTATCTCC